TCCTAATTAGCCATCACAAGTTTGCATTGAGCGCAATTTATGCATTAGGTATAAGAACAGTTAGTCTTGGCAGCTTCATATGAGTCCATTGAGGTAGATTCTATGATTAAGGAAATTCATATTTCAAAAGTTAATCTGCCCAAAGACATAACAGGATGTGGTGGTGACAGCACTGGCACTGATTTAAATCCAGCTTGAGTCTGGAAACCAAACACAATGTGACTTGGCCATTACAAGCTGGGCTGGTGAGAGAAATCCTCCAGGAAACTTGAAGTGAGACAATGTTTAAGAAATCCTGACCTTTCTCATCATTACTATAATGAAACGTTGTCCTTCAAGGTCTGCTGTAATAATTCGGGAGCCTTGAGTTGCTTCGAACTCAAAATTTCACACACATGAAAAAGGCTAACATTAAAAACACGCAGAAAGAACTTTAATGGTCAATTAGCATTCATTCCTGTCAGTAATAAATTCATAGAAATCACCTGACTAAAATGTGGGCCTGTTTTTCACAGACTAGTGATGAATTGCTAGCCACACAATTCCCTGCTGATTTTAAAAGGTTCCTTTTGATTACAGGTCACTTTCACCCCTTTCTTCTCCTAGATGCCACGTCAATAAAGGAAATCAAAACTGACAGTGCTGGGTGCCTAACACATTCTTAGTAGATCACGTGGCTCCGGGTGGTTCTTTGCTTCAAGCTGGAAGGTCTCGGGCTCTGTGCAGGTTCCGGTCTGGACAAAGCCTCCTGACAACAGAGGATGCATTAGCCACACACAGCACCGAAAGAATCAGCACGAATCACTGCCTTCCAAACTGGGGCTAGAGGTGAACTAAGTGCCAGGAGCAAGTGGAACAGGACTGAAGGGTGGAGCATGGACATCTCCTGGTGAAACAGCCTCTCTTCAAAATCCAAGCCAATGAATATACAAAACACTTTCTTGGGAAGCCTCATGTCAACCTTGTGAGTTACTTGAAGGCGCGTGTGAATTTTTAGGCATTCCTTAGGTGGACACACACCAGTTATATTTGATATATTTGATTATTTTGCCCACAAAAGTAGTCATCAATCAACCTACTCATCATCATAAGTGTGTAGAATTCTCAAAATGTTCTCTATGAAAATACTTTCCTATATTTAGTTTCAACCTAAATGGAAAACTTAGATTGTAAGGAGAAAACCAGACAACAGAGTAGATGATAGTCTTAACAAATAGTTGTTGAATGTCCAAGTATATTAGCCTAGTGACTTGAGTGTCACGCACCTGGACACATGAACTTCTAATGTCACTTTAACACTTTAAAGTTTCATTTCATTAAGTACGAAATAATCAAAACTACATTTGATTTATATATTTACATTTTTATTAGAATTCTTCAGAACTGTCAACAATTGAGCAACATATCAGGGGAAAAAACACATATGGAACACAAACATCCTTTAAACTTGCACCGCTTACATATTTACACATAAAGTTACTGTATATATAAAAAATATTTTCAAGGACTTGTGGGCTTGGGAATATTCAAAAGACGTTATTGCTACATTTCAATATTTACAAAATAAAAGCCACAAAATAATTTCAAACATTAAGCCACAGCAAAGAAACACCTGATGTAAAAAAAATTATAAAAATATAAACTTTCAAGAATATCCAAGACAAAACTCTCAGTGAAGTGCCCCTGAAGTACCTAGACATCTACAAGTAACAACCACTTTTCTTACTCGAATCAAATAGAAACGCAAAGGAAGTTTTTGAAGTATTTCAAACAATGACAATCTCTTATGTGACAACAAAACACCAAAACCTGTTACCTTTGGAAGGTGCGAGAGCATAGAACTCCAGTGCAAATGGTTACTTCTGGATGAATGGCCACAGTTCTCTAAATATAGTCTAAGGGACCTCGGAGGGGAAAACCGTGAAGGCGACATACCTGAATCTTGCAACCCAACATACTAGCATTTCCACCCCTCATAGTTGGGAAGTGATGAGGACCAAAAAAAGAAAAGAAAAATAGCAAACTCCAAGAATATCCAGGCTACAACCTAAAGGGTAAAATTTAAATAACTTTCCATGGGAGAGTGGCATTAATAAAGCCTAAGGAATGGTACAGTATGTTGAGTATAAATAACAGAGCGTCCTAATGCAGGTGGATTGCAAATAAATAGGTCCTTAAGCACTCTGCCGCTCACATGCATCTATGCAAGCTTTTGGTATGCTTCTCCAGATAGCGAGGTGAAGAGAAACAAGAGCAGTACTGATGATAGCCAAGCTACTTCTTGGGTACTAAAGGATTTCTTGGGCTTGGGGCAAGAACAGCCCCCCAAATCTTTGTCTACAAGCATACACACACGCGCGCACACACACCTATAAAGATACTGGCCCGGTGTCCAGGACATGCCTGCCAAGGAGGCTGAATCTAAATTTTATTTCCTGCTACAGAAGTATTCCAACTAAGACAGCACGTTTTCTTACCCCTGCTGGAGCCATGCAGCGAATCAGTAACATTTCAAATGGCATCAAACCCATGGAGCACAATGCCATTGGAAGCTGGTAGGCTTGTTCTGGATAATTTACAGAGCGAGTTCATTGACTACAAAAGGAGATTTTTGTTAACATTGTGCTTGGAGGTTTTTTTCTTAAAAAAAAAAAAAAAAGCATTAACTGTTTCCTTCAGACTTGCCTGGCTCTTATCTATTTCTACACACAACAGACTTGAGCCAAGGTAGTATCCAGAAACCACTCCTTGTGAGATGCCCCCCCTCAAATACATGAACACGTACAATGTATAGATGAGTATATACAAATGCTGCCTGGGGGGACCTTCTCTCCATTTCAGCTCCCTAACAGCAAACGAATGAGAAACCAGGTCAGTAGTACAAAGGCCCAGGCATAGCAGCATCTTCATGCTCGAGGAGCAACTTCTCATGACCTATGTCTTGTTCCCCGCATGAAATACTAGACTTCTGAAGCCCAGATAGCCCTAGACTTCTGTCCATTGTTCTACTAATGTTGTATTTGCTACCTCAAAGGTTTACATTTGAGCTTCCAATCTTTCTGCATCATATCATGGGTGGTTGCTAAAGCTGTAGGTGACTACTGCCTTTTATGCAAATGATCAACCACATTTTTGAGCAGAAACTAGAGAAGACTTGGAAAGAATTCAGGGTGTCTAGTCCCTTCCACTCTCCAAGTTAAATTTTTCTCATGAAGGGTAGCCCCCTTTGCTATGGGGAACATAGGCATTTCGAACCTTTGCAAGGGGGTGGTGCCAGATGACAAAAGTCATCGGTCACCCAAGTCTGCTCACAGGACAGGATTACAGGGGGTGTTCACTACCCTGGAGTCAGATGCAAGTCGAAGGAAAACAATGACCATCATGGAAAATGAAAGAATGGGGATCCTTCTTGATGGGGAGACCCCCAGGCATTCGCTCCACTTCAGACATCTTCGTGCACGAGCAGAGGCTGGGTGGAAGATGCGCTGCTGCCCACGGAATTGATCCGCACAGAGTGGTCCACCACAGGGTGCTCCGGATTGGGGCCGCAGTTCAGTAAGTTGGAGTAAACCTGAGGAAAGTGAGTTCACAGTCAATACACCAGTCTCCACAGCGAGTGCAGTGGCAAAGAACACAGTTACAGCCTCTGAGTCGCAAATGACGGATGAAGACTCTGAAACAGGAGAGGTTTATGAGAACTTTGCACTCCCCAACCAAGTCATCTTGACGAAAAAGCATAGCAATTTTGTCTCACCCTCAGTCCCCCTAGGGTCTGATTATGTAAGAAGTGACAGCAAGTTAAAAAAAAAAAAAATGTGTTTTGCTGATGGTACCTGTCTGGGAACCAGCACGATCAAGCCTATTTAAATGGTTTATAAATCTCTATAGCAACTGGGACCCAACAACTGCTGCGATTTCGTTTAAGAGATTCTGGCCCTTCTTGGGTCTTCAGCTGAGAATCAAGCACCTGATGGAAAATGCTGTTCAATTGGAAATGCATGTTGATACCCAAAAAGGCATGTTTAACCCCAAGGTATCAGCAGTTTACTCTTTGAAAAGAAAGGATAGTTCTAAGCATACAATACAGTGAGGGAGGGTGTGGGATGGGGGTGGGATCATTCTAAGCATACAATACAGGGGTGTGGGGGAAGGAGCCTAGCAGTTAAAAAAAAGTCTGAATCAAAGCAAGGATCACTAACTGTCTCTTAGAAGCAGGAAAGGAAATAGCAGATTTGTACCTGCCCCTTCCCCAGTCACTGGACTGGAGGCTCCCAACTTCAAACAACTTCATTCTACACGGCTGTGGATATGACAGTTCTCTGCCACTTTCTGGTTACGCTTGTTTGAGCAGAAGGCTTATTTCACTGCAGTAACAAGCTGTCTTTTCTATGCTTTTATTCTAGTTCACATCACCCCAACCCTCCCCAATTTGAATGGCCTGACAGGTGAGAGAAGGAACATCCCCATCCCATGACCAGCATTTGGGGTGGGAGTGGAGGCAGAGCAAATCCTTATGGAAACTACTACTTGCACACCTCTGAGTGAAAGCCACCTTCGTGCCACATCCTTTTTTGGTTCAGAATGGAGGCGGTGGGGGGGGGGGGCTGGGTAGGAAGGAGAGGGCTGAGGTGCATGATCTGTGCTGCCAGAGCCTCAGAGAGAGGACACAAGAGAAGGGCATGTGAGGTACTCACGTGATTGCTGCTATCTGAAATCTGCTTCTCAATGAGCTGAACGATCTGCTTGAATGTTGGCCTCTTCAGGGGATCAACATCCCAGCAAGTCTTCATTATGTCATACCTGGAAAACAAACAGCATTGTTGACTCCTGACTTGTGCCCTCTGACCTATCCTCAGGGCAATGATTTCAAAAGGAATTCCATGGTTGTTTCTATGGCAAATGAACATCTGCTGAATGGGTGCACAGAGTTCAACACTATAAATGAAGTGTTCTGTATTTCATGAAAATGAGCTACAGCAATGACCAGGGTGTCGTAAAAAGGAACCAAGTGACATTTCAAATGGTGCTAGCCAAGGCCCTCCCCATATGGGTTTCTGTCTTTAAACTGAACAATTCAAGGGGAGCATCCTGTGAAGGAAAGTGTCACAGCCCTTACATCTCAGCAGGTGCGTGCTCAGGGCTCAGCATGCGGAAGCCTTCCTTGATCATCTTGTAGAACTTAGAATCGACGGGCATTCCAGGATACGGGCTGCTTCCTGAGGCACAAAGAGTTGGCAAATCAGTGCTCATCACCTGCAAGCAGGGCACTGGCAAAGCCTTTTTAAGAAGCTGCCGAGTGCAATCAAGGTGCCCTTAGCAAGGATCTTCTTACCTAAAGAGAACAGCTCCCACAGAAAAATCCCGTAGGACCAGACATCGCTTTCAAATGTGTACACACAGTTAAAAATGCTTTCAGGTGCCATCCACTTCACAGGTAGCCGAGCCTACAGAGAGAGCCAGCTTAATAATCAAGAAGTTCAAAAAAAAAAAAAAAAAAAAACCCAGAAAGTATTCCTATAGATGTTACTCTAGCTGGAGGTGGGAGTGAGCACTTAGCAGCTATCTGAAAACTGAAAATACCTTTCACGTTTGTGACCTCGGGTGGCCCCACCACCTCTGACACATGGCTCCCAAGTGTACTATTCCAGGAAATATGGGACAGTGAGTCAGGACAGCATGGCAGTCCAGAGCACAGACACCACAGACAGACAGAAATGACTCCATCACTGGCCTTTCTCGAGTAATGGAAATCTGTCCATTGCCACTGAATACATTCGCTCCTTTCCACTAAATAATAGGAACTTGGCCTTCCGCATAAGGTGACATTACCCAGGTGACTGAGTTGGGCCCTTACATGCTACATGGCAACTTTAGGAAAAGCTACTTCCAACACAGCTGGTAAGTGCCATTTGCCTTCTCTCTTCCCTTCTGCCATCCCACCTTCTGGATAGTCTGGAGTTGTTTCAGACCGTGAAGATGAGGGATGGTAAAAGGATTTGGGCCTGAAGTACCTTATGGGACCAGTAGGTTGGCCGCAACTGCTACTCCCACACTTTTTACTTTTCTTCTGAGTTTTCTGTAGTATGTAACCCAAATGAGCCCATACAGTAGGATATGAGAAACACCCTTACTAATTACATTACACCTTGGCATTCTGTTCTATAACAGAGATAATAATTCAATCTCATGAGTTATTTGTGGGAAGAAAGTGTTTCATGCATACTGCCTGACTAATGTCGATGGTAGTGACTTGTAGTGATTATGTCTATTCCAAAGGTGATGAGCGCAGATTAGGGGCTGAACAGTAACAGCCGTCCTTCTCATGCTGAACTCTTGTTGTTACAATTGAACCAAATTTTCTGTGACTGTCCCTCTGAGAGACATTCGGAATTCCTGCTTCTTAATCTACTTTAAAAAGCTAAATCAACCCTTCCCTAATCCATTTAGGATTGAAAACTGGGAAGATGATTTTTCTAATCTCAAAGTTATTGTACTCAGTAGGAAAAAAAAGCCTTCCAATATTTTTTCCTAGATTCTGTGCTACAGATCTTTCCTATAGAGGTTTTCATTCTGAGATGTATAGGTGTCCTGAAATTCAGGGGCCTGTGAACTTAGAAGGAAAAAGTAAATTACTGCTTTTGCTAACTTTCCACTGAAATTGAACATTTCCTTAAAGGAGCAGTGAAGGTGACAAGAGCTCAGAGACAGTAACTTGAGGTTGTCACCAGCAGTGGCCATAGCTCTATCATATTACAGTTCACATTCATCACCACTCTGACATGAAGCTGCTTTGAGACACACTTAGAACATATCACGTGTGTAACAAAGCAAAACATTTGGACAAATCACATTCACTTATTAATATTTTGATCTCTCCATTTAAATTCTTGGTAATTGTGTGCATTTTATTTTATACAATTAAAGCAGCATTCTCAGAGAGATCTGTGGGCTTTGCCATAGCACAAAAGGACAAAACCTCAGAAGTAAATGAACTTTCTGAGAAATGAATACAACAAAGAACTCTCATATGACTACAGTGCATGGTTAGGAGGCGTAACATGTGGCCTATTCTTGTTTTCAACTCTTGTTTTCTATATATTCTCCATCACCAGTAGCCTCCTGTGGTGCTCTCAGCAGAAAGGACTTGAGCAGGGGTCCATGATCTGGAAGTCTGACAGTGCTTAACTAGCCCTTGCCCACTCCAACCAGGTCACTAACCAATAACAAGCTATTAAGAACCTGCAGCATGAGATAGTTATCAAGAATGGCCAGGATATTTATAGTAAGTATTCACTGCAAGGGGGCAGACACTGTTTTAGTGACTTCAGACATTAATTTATTTAATCCTCACAACAACTTTACAAAGCAGCTGATAGTATTAATGATGGAGCCAGATTCAACCTTAGCAAGATTAAACCCAGTGACCATGACTTCTTACTCGTGCCCTTCAGAAACCATTAAGAAGCCCCTACACTTCCGTCCCTACTGGGATGGAGAGTATTAGGTTTGATTAACATTCCCGATGATGAAAATGAGCTTCAGAGATTTAAAAAAAGAAAACTACTTTCTGATCAGGAGGTAAACCCAGCAATTTTCTACAAAACCAAGTCAAATACAGTCTACTCAGAGATGCCACAACAACGGAGAAAATACTCCATTATCATAGGGAGCACAAACTGCAATCACCAGGAGTAGATCTGAGGTGGCAAAATGAGTCCACGGAAATAGATATTTCTGTGGAGAATTTACATACAGGACTCTGGCTTCCCTTACTAATGTTACTTACTAATAGGATACCGCTTGAAAATCAAGGGCTCAAGTTTCACCTCTGCTGACCTCTGCCATAGGTCACAGGGAGAAAAGTCACTCAAATTTACTGTTGCCTCAGTGTCTGCAATGTTTACATTCCAATGTCAAGGGCTGGTTCTGATGATACAATGCAATAAAACACTCTGAAATAAAATCACTGTGTTGCTAGAAACCAGTTATTGTTTATGAACGAATTTAATAAGCTCTCTATTGATTATAACTAGATGCCTAATTCTGAACATTATCTCAGATTTTCATCTTTTTCACAGAGCATGTCAATCGCACAATAAAACTCTCCTGTGGTGACCTTCAGGGCCACATTTGTTTCACTTGAGCAAAATCAAGTTCATTGCTATTCTCAGGCTATAATGAAAATTAAGGCTATTTCTGTTTCCTTCACATGCCCCATAATTACACAATTAGAATTAGGAATTCTATTATCGGAATGTTGGTTGTAGTAATGTTCAGCATACCATGCAAATTTGGCTGAAAAACTTAATTCGACTGCTAGAACGCATGATCTCTCAAAGGTAGGATTTACATTATGAAAATCATAAAAAACCATTCCTATAAAAACTTGAAACTAAAACTGGACTGTCAAACAGAGTGTACTACTTACGTTTCCTTTGACCACATAATTAGAATCATTCTTGATGTCTCTGGCTAGACCAAAATCACAAATCTTTGTGATTCGCCCATGGGTAAGGAGGATGTTCCTGGCAGCCAAGTCTCTGTGAATACACTTTTAGAGAAAGAGGGTGGGGGGAAGAAAAGAAAATCATTTACATTTATTTTATATATTCTAAAGAGTGGGAACTATGTTTAGCACTAGCGTGCTGCTTATGTTACAAAAATCCAAAACTTTTTCTTTACATTTAAACTATTGGGTAAACTAAAAATAAATATTTAAATTGTGCCTTGAATGATATTCAAAATTTGTGTTTTATATATCCTTAGGACTTTCATTACTACAATCACTTTCAAAACCAACTTGAAAAAATACTTCTTTCTCTTCTCAGGAGAAATACATTATAAACAGTTAATTTTTTTAAAAAAACTAAAAGTTATTCTTGCATGCATCTCTTTGAAAGTTCTTTTATGAAGTTTCAAAAATGTCTTTACGAATTCAACTTGACATTTCCCAAAGACACAAGGTCAAGAAGCTCTTTATTTTAGCCACTCCATATTCTCCTTCATTTTGTAATTATTTGGAAATGCCACCAATGACACTTAAGGCTAGGATCTAAAACCTCATTCTATTTTTTTAAGATTTATTTATTTATGCATAGAAGAACTGGGGTGTAGACTGAAGATATGGGGTGTGAGGTGAGCGGATTCACCAGATACACAGTGGAGAACAGAACAAGTAGATCTACTGAAATACACTGCTGAGGAGAGCAACTGGAGACACAGGGGAGGTCTGCTGTGCCCTATGTGGTTAGGTTATCTCCCTTGCTAGGGCTTGAACTCAGGCCTGAGTGGTGACAGTGGTGAGACTTAACCCATAGGCCACCTCTCATTCTCTTTTGTGGTCCCTTTTCCTAGGAATTTCTCTCACCTTCCAGAGGACATGTTCCTTGTTTTAGAAACATGATTCCCTTTCCATCTCTATCCTTCTCCAAAATGTGTGCTATTCTTTTTGATGCCTTACTCCTGCAAACTTCATTAATAAAAATACAGTATTTGGGGTCTAATTTCAGTGAGACGCAAGTATAAGCTGCTGCACCAAGGATTGTACCTACTTGAGTTCCCTCCTCCCTTTGCTGATAGAATTATTCTCTGTTTTCTAAAGAGCAGCTCCTATATCCTAAAAAGCTAAATGTTTGAAATGAATTCATGGCCTATAAAAAAATTCATAGAAAGCTCATTTAGACAGGCTTGCACTTTAAAAAAGTTTATAAATGAGACTAGACATTCCGAAGAGACAGCAGTTGGAACATGAAGAAACTAAATTTCCTTTGCTTTTGGTTACCACACTTCATAATGATACTCTGCATTCTAACCATGGCTTTAAAATACTCCATTACTATTATTATTATTATTACTTTAAAGAAAAAATCTTTACAGAAAATCAGCCCCCACTTACGTTCTTTGAGGCGAGGAATGCCATGCCTTTTGCCACCTGGTAAGAAAAACTCAGCAAGTCTTCCAGGTCCAGGGCCAACTCATCATCTTCCATGATGGCGGGAGTCACATCTCTTTCTACATAGGAGCCTGGTAGAAGGAAAAGGATTTTCTTAGCAATTAAAAACTTAAAAGCTGGGAAAAGAGAAGACAATGACAACAATAATACCAAAGGCTGGCAATGAATGAACTAGCCATGTTATGAATTGGAAGGCAACTCACTTCCCCTAAGCTGAGAGCAGATAAGGGTTGAATCTCAAGTTATTATTCACAATCTTGGATCAGGGCACAAAATCTCTATGGGAAAAGGCGGATTAAGACAAAAAAATAACTCTTATTTGCTCCCCTTAACTGCCACTGGCACTAGACTTTGCTATGTGGATAAGGAGTTACTCCCGGGGTCGGCTCATATTCCATAGAAGTATGAGCGCTCCTTTGTAAAGGAAGCTCTTTTATTGCTTCATAGGTACCCACCTACTCTTGCTGATCTTCTTTTGTCTGCCTTGGTTGGAACAACATAAGAAACTCCGGGTTTCATGTCCATGTATTCATTAGTACTGTCACTGCTGGGAGAGAGGGAACAGTCATCAAACCATGATTGTACAAAATGGAAAATAGGGGCAGGTGCTTGGTCCCCACTCCCTTCCCCCCCAATAGGCTGATTTTATCTGAAGAACATTGCTGCTAACTTTGAATGGGAAAATCTCGCTCAAAATGCTTTGAGTTTTTAATATTCAACATTAGGGTCCAATCCCTAGGCATTAGATGGCCTTTTTTGTGTTTAGTCAGAAATGGGAGTCAGGGTAGAAATTTATCATCTTTGACACCAGGGATTTAATGGGAATCAGAGAGGCAAAAACATTATCCCATGTTACTTCAAACCCTCTAAATTAGCCCCAAGAGACAAGATGAAAGACAAGGAAGACTCAAAGCACAAGAGCTTTGTAGATGTGTTACAGGGGAAGGCAGAGATCTTTAACATAGAGTGACTGATGGAAGGCAAATTAAAAAAAAAATCAAGTTTGGTTCAGATAAACACCAATAATTTGGATGATTTTCTGAACCATCTGGACCTCTTGAATCTGCAACATTTGGCTGGAGAGTCTTCAAGATTTCTAGTACTTCCTGCTTCTGATTAGCATAGAAACACCATGACAACAATCTCCTTCAGAGTATGCTGGTGGTTCCAATCCCATATGGAATCCCAAAGCACAAAGCATACCACACAGGCTTGAACAACTTAGGCCATTATTTCAGAAAATTAAAACTATATATGGGGCCAAGGATTCAGGGGGGAAAAAACAACAAAATGACTAATTTATTTATATAAAGAGCATCTGAGCTGAGGAAACTAACAAAAGATGGTTTGTGCCTCATTTTACTATCACTGGACACTACTCAAATTCAGAAGACGAAAACATACATTAATGAGTTTCACCTGGGGTTGAAAACTTTAGCAGGAGCTGCAGAAAAGGGCTTTAAGATATAATTTCCCATCAATAATATTTACTGAGGTCTCATTGAAGGCCTGGAGCTGTGTTTGGGAGACACAGTCTTGCCAAAGAATAAACAGAGGAGAAATCTACCACACAGCTGTAGAAATATAAAGTATAAGAAACTGGGCCTGCTGAGTATGCTTTTTGTTGGGTTGGATGAATCTAGAAAAACTTACGTGGTGGGAATCTGAGAAACATAAGGAAAGAACAGGTAAGAAAAAACAATCTACTATGGTTGTAAACCTGTCTAATACACTTTAAAGGAACTTGAAGCTCTTTAAACATCATTCAAATTCAGACTATCAGTGATCAAAGAGATGAACAGATACTGGCTTTTTTTTTTTTAATGTACTAGAGAGTAACTGACTTTTTTATAGCATGGTGAGTTATCTGAAGAAAAAAAAAGGTAAGGAAAGAGAAATAATTCAGAGGTAGACTGTGCAGAGAAATGTTCAGAGCTCTTTGCCACTCTGTTCAAGGTTTTAAAGGAATTTCCAGTGACAGCTTGACAGGATTTCCCATTTTCTCTATAAACAGTGCCTCACTATAAAGATGCATATAGTACTGAGCTCAACAGTCTAAATGCAATGACACACCAGAACAGTGCCATGACAAAAGAAACATGTATGGAATTTGTTCTGCTGAATAGAATTAAAATCCAGAAAAATACTAAAGGTGGATTTAAAAAAAAAATTGTAAGTTTACTTGAATCCTTAAAAACACTATTTGAATTTGGAAACTGTTAATCACATTTAAATGATTTAATAATTCCAATTTTGTAGCTCAACATACCTTGGTTCATTTTTTAAAGAATCAGCATTGATTACAACCCCTTATGACCCTATAAACTGCTGTCAATTGCCGACTGTTTATGTAAATCAGTCTTACCAGGAAGACTCTTTTGAATGAAGAAGGTTCTTATAAAGTGCTGCTTCTGCATGATCTTCCTGCTTTGAGCAAATAAATGAATCACGTTTTCTTCTCAAAAAATTCAAAAGATCACCATAGCAACAATATTCTGTAATGACCAGGGTGGGCCCTACAAGCATATAAGAAAAGGTGAGAAAGAGGTGAGCGCCATAGATAATCCTGCCTCCTGTCAAATCCCTAAGGGTCAGTGTGGCCATTAACATGCAGGATAGAAGCCTACTTAGGGCTGATACAATCCTTTCTATTAACATGGCTCAGCAAAAAGCAGCCCTGCTGGAGTATTACCGAACAAACAGGCCCCCTTCTCCCTGCATTTCTAAGTAACACCAGTATTGGGGCCAGGCGTGACTGCTGGTTTTACAAAAGAGTTGATGAGTTCAAACACTATACTAGTATCAAGCTTCCCAAGGATCCTTTGATTCTCTTCTGTTTACAGCAGGGTTTCACACGCTCTTAGTAATGTCATTATAGAAATGAGGCAGAGCGCAAATGGAGACATGATAGGATACCCAGCCACATGGAACAGCCAGCTGAGACAGGCCTAGAAAGGGGGTGAAAACCTGAAGTCACAGGGCATCATCTGCGCTCTGAGCACGACTAGTTGGAAATGTTATAGGTGTTACACCAGGCAGCTGAAGTCAGACCCTGGACAGAAACTGCTCATGAACCATTCATGACATGACAAAGCAACATTTAGGAGGGCGATTTTACAAAACTACATAAAGCTGTCCTCTGGCTTTTGATCTCTCCAAATGTCCGGGAACAGCTCATTTGATGACTCTCCAGCCCTCTGGATGAAAATGATTTCTGGAAACAGCATGAAGTCTATGATGGGAGGAGTGACTAATATTTCAGATCTGCAAGTTTCTGCTTTAGGCAAGAGAAGAGTTTGCCTCATTTGTTGAATATTTGAGGACTGGCAGGCTTACAGGCCTATTTTTGATTATGGTATCTAGAGAAATAGTGACCCATCAGTGACTAGCTATGATCCAGCTAAACAAGAAAAGGATAACTTTGTGGACAAGAGAAGATACTTTTGAGATATTTAAAAGGTCATTATTGTCAGAGACATGTGATAAGTGACTGGCCTATCTCCTGGTGGTCCCACCTCTGATGCTAAAACTAAATACACATTCTTAAGAACAATAGTTTTGTTTTGCTGGGGGCAGGGGTGGAGATCTAACAAGAGGCAACAATAACCTGGGTAAAATCTTGGAAGGCATTTATAATCAAGCATTGTCAAAGTCATATTAAAAGCTCCTCCTTTCGATAATCTGACAAGATAATAAAAGGCAACTGGACAGTCAGTGGCTTTACCTCCTACGGTGCACGCGCCCAGAAGATTCACGATATTCATGTGGTTCCCAAGATAGCTCAAGACTTTGAGTTCAGACATGAGGGCTTCTCGTTCCGTTAAATGGGCACTTGCTAAAATCAGAAACGTCGTTTTAGCAAACAGCAAGTCTGGCAAGCTGAGGTGGGCACACAAGGGCTACAGAAACTTACGCTTGAGCATCTTCACAGCGACGGTCATGGCAGCATCTGACTTAATGAGGCCATAAGCAGTGGCTTCGACAACTTTCCCAAAGGCACCAGCACCCAAGGTTTTCCCTGCAGAGAGGGAGACCACAATGTCACCAAAGTGGTGGTGTTAGGACTGAAGGCCCGTTTGTGTAATGGCAAAAGTCAACGAAGAAATTAAAGACAAATGCCTAGATACATTTCCCTGAAAGGTGCTTTCTGCCAAATCTATCACACAATGAGATTTCACAGAACATACTTATTGTTTCAGGTAGGAAAAAAAAAAACAAAAACAGAAGCTTTTAGGGTTGCCAAAGCCATTGTTATGCATGGACAAAAAGACTATACGGAAAGCCCCTGTTTCATACTGACCAAAACTCAGCCTGTTTCTGGGAAACTCCCATTTGTGATCATAAGGAAGTTGCATTGGGTCTATGTAAACATAGTTGTTCCCATTTATCTCCTCAACAACCTTCCACTGTACTTCATACATGGGTTTCTGCGGAGGGGAGAAAGATATATCACCTATTAATAATGATTAATGTTTCAGCCACTGTAGCACTCGAGGCAGAGAGTAAATAAATGGTTACCTGTAAATATTTGTAGGTAAGAATCATCACAATGATGCACATTATACCAGCTGCAATCACAAAACCAATCAGCAAAGGTGTGAACAGGGTGTGGGGATGGAGTTGTTCTAAATGAAAGAGGGACGTGGAAGCACATTATTGCCAGGACTGGCTCTTCACGACATGCCCCAAGCCCACGTGCACCCCCTCCCTCTTGCACCCCATGGGAGGACTCAAAGCCATGAAAATGCTCCTCAGTTCCTTGGTACTATCTTACTCCTGTCATTCAAAGGCATCTGTTAAAATAACAACTTTTAACGGGATTCCCATGGAAGTACATTTGAGATTTCTATAGTAAAAGAACAACTTTACTCTGTGTGTCAATGAGAAGGAGCATGTAAATGAACTTTGTCCTTTCATCAGATCCCTGCCTCAGCCACCTCTAAGAAGCTTCCTTCATGGGTGGCTCCGATGTTCTTCTTTATACTTCCCTGTATTTTCTAATTCTACCGTGAGCATGAAAACATTTTTTAAAGCATTCTTTTCATTGCTGTGTCTAAAAAAAAAAAAAAAAAAAAAAAAAACAAAACAGAAAACAGCCCCTGATGATGAACAGTATAATCCTCTTCTCGCTGCTCACTAACTGAAAATACACCACTCTTTGGCACTCGCCTTTGCCAATTTAGGAAAACAAAAACTGAGCCCTGTGATTGTAGGTGCCTGGTTTCTTTGTTTTCCACAGCCACAGCAATTCATCAATTCATATACCAGGCTCACTGAACTTCCATTAGGAAGGCTAGGCACTCAGGAATCAAAAGTCAAAGTCACTTAAGAAATAGCTCACTCACATGTCTTCACAAAAGGCAGTGTGTTACCTTTCTGACAGCGTCCACCAATGTGCTAAAATAATAGATTTTAAATAACTAACATTTTCTATTGAATTTAGATCTTTTAAAATCTTCTTAACTTGGTTTGCATATGGGTATGACAGTCCCCTGGTGGCTTTCTCAATCCTTTTTTTAGGGAAGTAATAGGAATTACAATACACAAACACACAAAATCAATATAGCACGTGGTTAAAATTACTGCAGAAAGTTTATTCACAAACTAGTACAGAATGATACTGAGCGAGTTTGAGGACAGTACAATGCAATGCAGGTATTACCAGAAATGGCATGGCCAGTGATGGAATGGACTTAAAATCATGATTGATATGGTAGGCAGAGACTAAACATCCCCTGAAATTGGATTAAAAAGAAATATACCTTTGTTGTTACCTTTAAATGCAAAGTTAAAATAGGCGGAACTCTCGCCCACACTATTGTGAGCCCTACACTCGACCGTGCCATTGTGCTTGAAGGTACTATCATCGATGGAGCTCTGAACTACTAGCTTTCCGAACTGTGACACTGATGAGTTTTGGAGCTGCACATCCACAGGCTGAACAGAAACAGAACATCTATAGGGAAGAAAACAACAACCCAGACTTACTTGAGGAAAATAAACAAATGAAACACTTTGGATTTAGCAGCCTTCAAACACTAAGTCAGAGGGTCGTAACCAGAAATATCCGTTTGCAACTGAGAGCCTGGTGAGGACCGGACATTTCTATGGCACAGGGAGGCCACAGAGCAAGGTGAAGACAAGAAGTAAGGGCGAGGTGGTTTGGGAGGAAGCTGTGGGTTTGAATCCCAACTCAAGCTCCTGTTCTGTTGGTCTCTGACAAGTCAAACTCTGCAGGACTTGAGTCTTACAGCTGTAAAACTGGATTGAATACTTGTCTGGCAATACTTATGTTGGAGGATTATTGAAAGGATTAGAAATGAATTAAGTAAGATGGCTGGCACATATCCCGACCATGAGTGGACCCTTGTGAATAAGCCAATTTTGAAGAGCTGTATGAAGGGTTGAAAGGAAGTGTGTGGAGGAGGTCAGCATTAAAGTCTACAAGGATGGGCATGGCCAGGCAGAACCCCAGGAGTGAGGCCCCTGTGGCTTCAGGCTCTGTGGCAGGATAGACAGGTTGCAAGACTGGGAGTACCAGCCGGTGGCAAAAGTCACCAGGAGACAGTCCCAGGGGCTATTTCAAATGCCCCCTCTTCCTTTCCCCACTACTTAGCAGTTTCCTAGTCACTCCTTCATTTTTTCCTCCTAAGCAAGTGACAGCAGCCTGTAGTGGTCAGCTGGCTTGTGTTCCATCTCCACCCATCAGAATGGGGGCTCACCACAGAGGACGGGGGGGGGGGGTGTTCTTCTCTCTAGACCAGTATCAGCGTACCCAGATGCTCCATAAATATTTGCTGAATGAGAGTAGCTGTCACTGCCGGGGTTGCTTCCACTGTGCATACACTTTGCGGGGGTCTTGAACCCTTCCTATTATTCCCCAAAGAAAACATTCCAACATGGAGCTGAAAACAGCAATCCCATGTAACCTCTTCCAACTTGTTGTGCTAAAAAGGTCTATTCCAGTGAAAAATAAAATTTCTATTATTATCCTGACTATTCAATTGTGATGTACACTGAGCTTTTAAAGCTAGAGCATAAAATAGCAGTTGATGGATAACAATAGTGACGCTGACCCCATTTTCATCTTCAGGTAATGCAGACGGACAATTTAAGGCTTAAGTGTGGATTGTGAGGGAGAGGAAGCGAGCGCCAGGTGTGCTCCTTGCAGGGGCTGAGCACCTAATCAGCAAGCAAACCTTTTGGAAACATGAAGCTTACAAGCACCATATGTATGTTGTAATTGTGTGATCATTCCTTTTTGGTAACTTGGCAATTAACTTCTGAGGTAATTTTTTCATGATAACTACTGCCACATTTCCCCCACACATTACCTCCTGTGTATAGAATGGAAATCTAATTACTCTGCCCTGGAAAATTGCTTTATCTACCTGCAGGCTAGAAATTGCCATGACAAATCCAAAAAGATAACCACCAAAATAGAGAAGTCATTCAGTAATCATTTTTCAGCAAACAAAATTAATGTCTACCATGGAAAAGGTAGCAATTATGCCCTCTAAAAAAATTACATGGATAGAAAAAATAATAACCAAAACAAAGCTTTTTGAAAAGAAATCTGAAAACACATTTGACATGCAACTGAATTGCAGTCTTCCCCTGTTGCATTTTGAGTAGTGCCAAAATAATGGCCTTACCTCTGCTCGGCTCCTGGACAAAAATACCAATCTATTGTGGGCTCGGGGAATCCTTCTGCCACACACTGGAGCATGCCATTCATGAGACTGTCACGAGTCAGAATTACTGGTTTTGCTGCAGAAGAGCAGAGGCCACATGTCACATTGCTGAGAAACTTCAGCACAAACCCCTCCTCTTCAAACCCTTAGAACTCTCCTGCACTTGAGGCGGACCTCAACTTGAGGGAACATGGTGCAAGTGGAGAATCTGAGCCCCAGGATGAAGGTAACAGAGGACAAAGGCTTTGGTAGTTAGACCTGCCCAGACCCCACATGGACAATGCATCTGGCAGGACTGGCAGCGGCGGGGTCCCTGAAACCCTCTTCTAGGGATGGCTGGAGTGGAGCTTCTGCCTGGTGTGGCTTCTGTTCCCAGCGAGCTGGGACCTGTAACGACTGTTTGCAATCAAGACTCTAGGATCCCAAACTGTAATAAAGGATTTCTGCCCTCTCAGATTTCATGTTACCAGAACTTTCTTGGGAATTTCAAGTTATGCAAAGACTGAAATGGCTAAAAGTAGGAGTTACAGAAAAATAGTACTCTTACAATCAGGAATTTTCTTTTTCTTGGGGGTAGGGGAGTGGTGGGGCAGAGAGGCAGTGCAGATGAAAAGCTGAATCATCCAATTTACAGAGAAGCCACAACACGTGTAAAAATACAACAAAGGATATAACTCCCAATGTGTATTTCAAATGCAAAATATGAAGAGAAAATAACCAGCCCAAGAGGCTTATGTTATAGATATATGTGTATGATCACTAAAAAAAAGTATTGTTATCAGCAGGAATTGCTCTAATTTGACATTTCTGTGTAACTACAACAAATAATATTCAATCAAGGGTGACACAAAGCACTGCAAAATCCTGAGATCTTCTCTGAGTTCAAGGAAGATGAGTTTATGAGGTCAGGTGCGACTGCTGACATATTTGAAGGACGGTGAGGTATACCCTATGTCCCCAGGTGCATTATGGAGGGCGCCAAGCCTGAAGACAGATCACAGGTGTCCCCAGGGGAGTCAGAGGTTTGCATACATGACGCCCATGGGCTCTCCACCCTCCGCATCAAGCCTCGTCACGTAAAATGCGATGATAGCATCACTCATTTCCTTGGGATGTGGTGACACAGAAACGAGAAGGGAGCACACAAGGGACCCAGAAAACCCAAAGAAAGAAAGCAGTAAACTTATCAATGATTCGGTTTTTCTTTTGTGACGAGAATGCCCATACTCCCTGGTTAGTTCAATTTGGTAGCAGATTAAGTTCATTGTATCTGCGGTTCTAAATATTCTCTTTGATGATCTAAAAATTGCTCCTTTAAGATGGTGTGATAATGTGTGTGAACCCGAGGCATCAGGAATTTGACATTAATTATGTTGCCATTGATAAGAAAAGCATATGTGGTGAGAAGGCAAGACTGACATATCAGAGGCTTGGGAAGCTGATTTCCTCGAAGGAAGAGAACATTGATAAATGACATCTTTGTGGAACAATCTCCCAGCACCTCATCTCCTTGCAGGCAGAAAGGCCTGGCAGGGACCAGTGTCCACATGCATGGCACACCCACCTGTCACTCAACCTGGCCCTGCTGATGGACAGGCCATTTGGCTAATACACACACAAGAGTGACACTCCGATCTCAAGGTAGGAGCATCCTTGAGCATTTGGATCCAGTGCCAGCTTTTACAAATAGAGCAAGCAGACGAGCCATCGTCTTGCAAAGGCATCCATCTGGCAAGTTTCATTTAATTATCATGGGCAACTGTGTAATCGGGCTGAAAAGTAGGACATAACACAAAAAACAGTGGAACTTCAGGAGAATGCGATTTGCTGGAGACCACAGGCAGCAGAAGGCAGGTCTCTCTGGACTCAATCCAAGAGTCACCTCTTTTTCCAAACTGTCCTCAGCAGTGCAAAGCCAAAGTCTTTCCTCACTATTCCTGCAACACTCAGAAGCACCTGATGCTCTATGTGGCATCCTGGGCTCCTTCCTCCATCAGACTAAGTGTTCTCAAGGGTAGGAACCTCATTCCACGGAGTGGCCTGAGTCCTAGCAGACACACAGTATGAGGTGCTAAATAATGAAGTTCCCCCAAAGGAACAAAAGACTCCACAGAAATTCAGCTGGAGCCACCAGAAAAGACCAAACAAAAGAAAATGCTGACTTTGGGGCCCTCCACCACCATGATCGGAGTGTCACTCTTGTGTGTGCAATGGGTTAAAGCCCAGCACTGCAAGCGAGCCACGGCCACCTCTCTTGTCTTGCCCCTGCTTCCCTCAGCAGTATATGTTGTAGATCTGCCTGTTCTGCTTCCCACTCTGTCTCTGGTGAATCCTCTCCCCACCCCTGCACCTCTGGCCTGTACCCCAGTTCTGTATGCATAAATAAATAAATCATAAAAAAGAAAGAAAGAAAGAAAGAAAGAAAGAAAGAAAGAAAGAAAGAAAGAAAGAAAGAAAGAAAGAAAGAAAGAAAGAAAGAAAGAAAGAA